TCCCGAGTGCTGGGATTAAAGGCGTGCGCCACCACCGCCCGGCTCCATATGTATTTTAAAGATCATAGCGTTGTATAGTCTCTTGTATTTATCATGTATGACATGTAAACAGAGAAATAAAATTGACTGAGGGGCTGAAATCACTTCATTTCTAGGAAAAGTGAAGAAACATCATGAGTAATGAATCTTTAAATATGACAAACACATCTGCTTAAGTGTTGCATATGCTACACTGACAAGATTTAACAATTCACAATCTAAAGGCCCACAGGGTTGAGGAAATTGGCTCAGACCAGTAGCCAAGGCATGGAAGTAACTTACTCCTTAAGAGTCAACCTTGAGTCTGCCTGAGGACCTAGCAACAGTCACCATCAGATTTCCTAGTCAATTCACAGTTCCTGATCATGCAGAGTCTGCCTGGGCACCTAGTAACAGGCACTATCAGAGTTCCTGATCATGCCCAGCCAATGAGGGATGATGTCACAATGTCACCAGATCAGGACACAGCCTGGGTGCTGGGAGGAAAGCATATAAGGCCTTCCCTGTTACTGAATAAATGATTCTGTTATTTGCATTCAACAAACTCCCGGTGTCTGTGTCCCTGATGCTGTGTCTTCTCACCCCCATCACTAAGGGAGCTGTTAGGAGGTATCGATGAAGATAAATTACAGGCCCAAGTATGTTTTCAAATGCTACATGAGAGAAACATACAAAACACATGGTAGGGCATTTGGGGACACAGACTGGTGAAAATATTATTCACATGCAGCAGCGTCATGACAATGCTAATATTTCTTGGAAATATTATTGGAGCATGCATTTTCTTGATATAAGGTGTGAATGTCAGAGGACATGGCTGTGATTGAAATACTTCTGGTTAATAGGACTCTTGCAAATCTGTGTGATCAATTTTCCATCTCATCTTCATGTTCACAACACCAAGTTATAATTAGTCCATTAGATGATTCCAAGCCAAGAAACCACATTACAAAGCTGGACACCTACAAAAATTTTTAACAAAATATTTAAAATACGGGACTACCCAGCCATTGTCTTATTTTTTTACAAACACACATATACCAAGAAGTGTGTTTGGGGCCGATATGTGAAACTGAATGCATGAAACTCCTATACATGCCTGCAAGAAATGTGAGATAGACTATTCTTAAATGTGCTGGAAAACACTTGAAGACCACTGCAGTAAGCCTACATGACATAAATGTAAAATACATATTATTTTATTTACTTACATTATTTATTATATATTATTATAAATGTTTAATATTTTATTCATTTATATTATGTATTATATATTATAAATATATCATATTTCATTTATTCATATCATTTATTCTATACATTATCATGAATGTATATTTTTATTTATATTATTTGTTATATCTTATTATGAATGTATATTATTATATTTATTACATATTATTATACATGTAAATATTTTATTTATTTATATTGTTTATATTATTTCATGTTCAACACTGTGATAATTTGGTAACCACAGAAGCATCATACAGGAAGTGATGGGATCAGTGATGTGTGTCTCTTCAATGAGCATAAGAAGTTCTCTAATATGCAGCTGTGATCACGTTTATATCATCATATGGAATATTGACCTCCATTGAATATATAGCAACAATATATATTTATTTTTATATATACAATTGCTCTACTACTTAAATATATTTGCTCTACTAGTAAAAATTATATATTTTATTATAGGTATTATAAATTAAAATATATAATATAAAATAAATATATATATAATTGCTCTACTCATTAAAAAATTTGCTTCTGTAGACAAACTTCTCCATCAGGGTAGAATTTCTCCTATTGAAATATTCAATATTTGGTCGAGTTATCCAAATAACTATAGTAAGCTGTTGCTTTGAGTCTAAGAATTCCCTTTCTCCCCACATCATGTCATAAATCACCAATTTAAAAATAGGAATTTGATCCTAATTCTCTATGACACGGCAGAGCACCTCAGAGTAGAGTCTCATCTCATCTTTCAAAGTAATATAATATGTTTCATCACACTGTTGCTAACAGTCCATGTCATCCTAACCTTCCCTGAGGAATGTGACATTGGAAAAAACATAACCATGTCAACCTACATCCTGGACTGCCAGCCAAACAGGATGCTCTGAACAAAAAAAGAAAAAGAAAAAGAAAAAAAGAAAGAATAAAAAGAAAAAAAGAAAAATCAATAAAACCCTTGAAAATAACCACACTTTATATTGAGTGTGATACACTAAGAGACAGACATGAAATCTGTTTTGATTTCTATTCTCTCTGTAACCACTGAGCTACTGAGACTTTCTTAAGGAGATGAAAACTGAGAAGCAGCGATATGAATATTTTATCATTAACTTCTGTCCTTGGTTTTGCGGAGAAGAAAGGATGACTTCTGATGGGGGATGCATCAAGTAATAAATTAAATATGAAATCCAGCTTCACATTCGTATCTGTGTCCCAGTTAGATCAGCCAATGTGACGAGCATATTGTTTTACATCATACATATGTTTTACTTTTATGTTCACAGATGTTTTGTGAGTGTGGACATGTGTGCATGTGTGTCAGGGAGGGAGAGAGCATTCATTTGTGTATTAATCATGCCTGTGCCAATGAAATCAGCTTCAATATCATTCTTAAGTACATGACTTTTTGGAAAGATGGCATGTCTTCCTTTTTAAGAACCTGTCATCCATATTTTATAAAAATAACAATTTGTGGGTCATTTCAATAAAACTCTCTGCACTTCATCCTTTCCTGGTGATAAAATTAAAGAAACATGCAAACACGCCTGGCTTGTTCCAATCAATTACACTGAGTTATCAGGCACAGCAACTTAGAATGGGAAAAAATTGATTATAGCCCATAATTCCAGGTAATTGTTCCATTTTTGTGAAATTCAGGTAGGAACTCACTAATCATATCACATTCACAGCCAAGAGCAGAGATTGACAAATGTACCCATGCTGCTTGTTTGCTTATGCTTATGCTCTAGCTTCTTCATACAACATAGTACAGGTTGCAGACAATGAAATGATTCTGCCCGTTTTAGGGACTCTTATCTCAATTAACAATTAATAGAATACAACAGAGACATGTTCAAAGTAAAGCTGATCTATATAATTCCTCATTGGGGTCCCTCTTACCAGGTGACTAGTTTGCTTCAGTCTGATAATAAAAACTAAGATCACACTGTCTCAGCATCACTGCCAGGAGATTTCTGTCTGCATTCAGATCTGTAGTCCTCAAGCTGTGGGTCACCACCCCATTGGGGGTTGCATATCAGATATCCTGCAATCAAATATTTGAATTATGATTCTTAACAGTGTCAAAATTAAAGTTAAGACATAAAGAAACAGTTATGTTTAAGGTTCACCATGACATGAGGAACTACTGTTGGTGCTATTTAAAGAGTCAGAGAATTGGAAAAATTAAGAACAATTGATCTGGAGTGTCCAGTGGAACCCTAATGTCTATTTTGGTAAGTATGAATGGGCTTGCAAAGGATTTTCCTGAATATCCTTTGCTCTATAGGAAACTTATGTTCTGTGTGGAAGACTCCAGCTGTCTGGCCACCTTTACTACCCAGTAACAGCAGACCAATTTGACCTACTCAACAGAGAGTATAACACCAACTACACACATGCTGATCACACAGATTTTAGTCACATTGAGCTCCATGACCATATCACGCTCCTATGGGTACTTGATCCTAGGCTGTGTTAGCCTCTTCCTCTAGTATAAATCTGCCCAGATGTTTCCTGTAGGCTCTTTACCAGGAAATTATTTAACAAGTGTCCTTCTCAGTCATCATTAACTCTATAATGTCTTATGGCTAAGGAGATAAGGAGATGCAGGTACATTTTTTTAGATTTTATATCAATTTTATTCAGAAATTTTCGGGCTGGAGAAATGGATCAATGGTCAAGAGCACTGGCCCTCTTCCAGAGGACCTGGGTTCGATTCCCATCATCCACATGGCAGCTCACAACCTCCTGTAACTCCAGTTCTAGGGAATCTGACACACACACACAAATGCACATAAAATAAAGTTTAGTAAATTATTTAAAAAAGTAATTTTCTACCTACTCTACATACCACCCAGAGACCTCACCTCCTCCCTCCACCCACCCTTCAGCCATCTTTCCCAAGCCATCCTGCATCCCCACATTCCCCAAATTGAAGTCTCCCATGGGGAGTCAGCAGATACCAGAACACTGAGCCTAGGCAGTTCCAAGCTCCTTCCCACTGCACCAAGGCAATACAAGGTGTCACACTACAAGCGCCAGGTTCCAGAAGCCTGCCCATGCACCAGAGACAGATCCTGATCCTCCTGCCTGGATACCCCCCAAACAGTTCAAGCCAAACAACTGTCTTCTGTATCTAGAGGACCTAGTCCAGTCCCATGGGAGCTCCACAGCCACCAGTTCACAGTTCATGGGCTTCTACTAGTGTGGCCGGTCATCTCAGATGCAGGTACTTATGATTAACTTTAGCATATATAAATTTATATGATATCATTACCTTGTGTACATCAAATTTCAGTAGGAGATAAACATTCAGTTCCACACATGGAAAGAACTAATGCATGTCCAATCAATCAGGGAGAGATCTCTGACTTTGATGAAGGGGATGCTAAAGGGCTTCGCTTGTATCCCAGCAGAGGCTCCAGCAAAGGTCAACTTCACTTCTAGTGTAAGATGAGGAAAGCTCATTAGCAGGGAAGCAATGTCAGTTCCCATGACATGTGCAGCTCTTCTCTGGACATTCTTTCGTATCCTGGAGAGGCCTGGCATCCTCTGTGATGTCACCTATGTTGTGGCAACACCAACTGCCCTTGGGAAGCTTATTCAATGTCTTCACCATTTACTGATGAACATGATGCCATACTGAAAAGTGTAATTCAGAAAGAGATGGAGAGAGTAGTGAGACCAGAGAGTGACAGAAGAAAACTGACCTTCAGCCTCAGTGTAAAACATCGAGAAAGAAATGGTCAAGAAAATGTTGTAATCAGTTCTGTGCAGGAAAATGGAAGCTTCCTAGATGAAGTGGGCTTGAGGAGAATCTTCCAGTAATGGGGAACAGAAAACTGAAATCTATGGGACCCAACAGAACTTCCCTTCTTGTCATGGCTCTTGAAATTCAAGGATTCCAGGATATTAATTGTTCTGACTTAGAAGTCAGGAACTGGTAAGGCCAAAGCTTTGTTCTGGGAACTCTTGGCTTTCATCCCTTTTGCAGGATAGGTATTGATGAGTGAACATGAGACCAACATGAAAGTGGGAGGGATTAATGAGCTGTGCCCATTTCAAGACAGGACATCACTGTACTTCAACCTCACTAGCCAGTGTACTTTAGGTGCTTCCCAAATGCTCTGTGTGACCTGAGTTGTCAGTGAGGAGATTTGTTGAGTCTGGTGACAATGTTCTGCCCTTATATGACTTCTCATTCAATAGTTATATGGTTAGATTGACCTGTCAAGATATTTGGGGAACGTCTAAATGATTGGGGTGAATGTGAACCATGGCAATTTTCTTCTGATTTGTAAACCCACAGGTTTGTGGACTCTGTAGCCAAGTTGAATTCTGAGTCTGCAGCTGTGAATGAGTCTGAAGAGGCTATTTCCTTGGTTAATTGGAGCATGTGCTATGAGGGCAGAGAGAAACAAATAGCTGAGATCACCACTTTCCTTCAAACAGAGGAGACAGCTGAGTTCCCCAAGGAGGGTTATTGAAGCATGGGACAAAATAATTTGGGGTGTCACTGAGTCATTGTTAAACAAGCCTTCTCAAACATTTGTTTAGGACTCAGGGTGGTCTGTCCATCCTCTTTGCCTTGTCATACTGCAAGTTAATTTGTATACATCTACCCACAAGGAGCACCAGGGAGCCACCATCCCACCAAACCTTCCTCACCAAGATGCAGGTGAAGCAGAAGGTGCAGAGGCTCTCCTGTCAGCAATGGCAAATGACAATTGAAAGAAAGTAGCATTGAAATTGCCTGACCTTTATCTTAGAAGAGAGCATGAAGAATACGTATTCATTCTTTTAAACCCTGTGGTTTCAATCTTAGGTAAACTTTGTCATCATTAATTCATTTTATACAAGGTTTGTGTTTCTAGTAGGCTGTATCTTCAGGGTATGGGTTTGCACAAAATCATGTCTCTGAACTCTTTCCAAAGGCAGAACCTTAAATGTGGACAAGAATGACATGAGGACAAAGACTACTCGTTTCTTCGAAAAAGCAACAAAAACAGAGCCTGTAGCATGAGTCATAGTACTCATGGTCTGAGGCAGTAGTATGTGAGTTCCCGGAATGGATTTGAAGAGAGTGTATCAAGTAGTAGCTAGAGTGAGATGTTAGTTGCTGTGAGTTTGACTTGATCGTTTTGTTACTTGCTTGGAAAGGCCTTGTGTGCTTGATTCTCCAAGCAGCAGTTGGAGAGGCCTAGTCATACATCTAAATGTGTGGATACAAGGACTGAGACTGATCCCTCCTCCTTTTGTTCCCCTCTGAGAAGACATACCTGCATGCATTTGTTCAGCATCCAATTGATTGAGTTCTCCCACTCTCACTCAGTCTCTCTCTGTTTAAGTATCTCTTTCTCTGTCTCTCTGTCTCGCACACACATGTGTATGTGTTGTGTATTTTTCTATGTGTTTGTGCCTGTATATACCACTATTCCCTGCAATCAGGGATCTGTGATTGTACATGAGCAGTTCCCTATCGCTCAGTTCCCAGGTGATACCTTGGGGAAAATTGGGAGCACCACTATGAGCATTATAGTTCTGCCAGTGTACTTATTTTAGTGATACATAGATATTCCTTTGGGGAGTTTATGAATATGTCATGATGTTGAGTCCCATCTTCAAAACTGTTCATGATGTTATTTTCATCTCCATTGTCACAGGTATGATCATGGAGAATTTGTTTTTGAATACAGAAGAAACATCTTCACAGATTCTGGAGGGTACACACCTGTGGAGTAGACGCTAAGTAAATTCTTAGACAGCTCTTTCAGCAATCCTACTGAGAGAGCTCATACACCTCCACCTCCCAACATCTAAACAGCCTGCCTCTGCTGGCCTAGAGTCAGAATAGCTGTAAATAAATTGTATGCCACTCTTTGGGTTTGGTCTTGGCTTTTGGCAACAACAATGTAGGTAAATGTGTTGCAACAACTCTGGGGAAAGGTGCCTTGACTACCTGTGAGTCAAGCAACACCTTGAGCTGCTTAAGACAGCTCTGATGGCAGGAACTGCAAGGAGACAGTTTAGGCCTGGATCACAAGGTATCCCACACATCTCGAGCTTCTCAGAAGAGTAGCTCTGCCCTGAAGGTGTCCTGGACACCTGGAGCTGTTTAGCACAGCTCTGATGGCTGGAATTGCAAGGGGACAGTTCAGCCCTGGAGGGTGAGGTATCCTGGACTCCTCAAGCTGCTCACAACAGCTCTGCCCTGATGATGTAAGATAAACAACTGATTGCTGATTATTCTACTTTATTACATTGCTACCAGATACATGAAAATATGGCATTGAATACACACATAAAGTGTTTAATGTTTCTTATATTCT